AGAGAGAGAGAGAGAGAGAGAGAGAGAGAGAGAGAGAGAGAGAGAACTGAGACGGCGCGCCAATCAATAGGGGCACATTCCAGCTTTCGGATTTTTGAAATAGGATTTAGCATCGCTAGCGATGACACACGATATAATATCGATTCTAGATGTTGACCGCCACGTTGACGGTCCATGAATCCCTCTAATGGTATAATTGAGAATAAATAGTAATCCTCTTGCGCGAGTAAACTATTGTAACTACATTATAAATGCTTTCTCCGAAATGCACGAAACATATAGAAGGGGGTGGGTTAAGACTATATATCAGATGTAATAATTTATCATTTATTTATATAGTTCGCGTGATTACACATACACAGAAAATGAAACCAGCAAATAAAACGCGCGATACGCTCTATGGAAAGAAAATTTGTAAGGCCTTTTGCATAAAAATTAAGCCATTTTTTATGCGCTCCGGCATGATGAGAACAAATTGTCGTGCCCTCTGTTCCGCGAGCATGAGAAAAAGAGAAATAATGAGACAAGTTTTACCGAGTAACGAACAAGCTAGAACAGAGAAAGAGTCAAATTGGAACAGCTGGGAACGCTTGGAACAGCTTCGCCGACGAAACTAAACTAATTTCGGGCACTCCAATGCAACTAATCGTAGCGTTAAAAAAAGTGAGCATCTCGTACTCCGAAGATCTTGCAAAGTTTCAAACGCGGCTTCGAAATCCCTGGATCCACAGAATCCTGGTCTACGGTTTCAGGACACTTGGAACTCGCACTCATAGGAATTTCTAAGTCTTTGGAAATTTAATATATATATACACTCGGGCATTTTGAGTTTTGAAATCTTTAACTTTGAATCTTTATTCCTACTTTTTTTTCGGGTGCTCCAATATTCTTAGACAATCTCCAAACATATCCTTTAAGTCTTGGATTCTCTATCCTTTGTCTTGCAATTTATAAGTTTTTATTCGCGCTATGCTTCATGGAGCTTCGTGCGCTTAAGAGCTTCTTAGACTTCCTGATTCTCAACGTTATGGATCCAGGGACGCTATAGCGGGGTTTGAACGGTGGATTCTCGGAGAGATGGGGATGACTTTTAGGGGTAAATTAAGCACGTAGTCACAATGGCTGTGTACCTCGACGCAAAGTTTGATATCTTATTTTTATATATATATCGAAAGTGATTTGTTGTTGAACCAACGAATGATTATATGATACATTGTTGTTTGATGTTTATGCAATTGGCCACTGAGTGGTCTTGTCTCTGCGCACCGTGCGCGCAGGCTGGCCGCCATTGAAACTAATCTAACTTTCAGTTGTACCTGTTCTTTTAGTTACAAGCAACGGTCCAAATTACTACGCCATTTTTCACTCCGGTGAACAGTAACGATTATATGCTACTTTCTGCTGAAGTTTCACTCTTCTACTGGTAATTTACTTCGTTCCCTGCGGCACTCGTCCTTCAGGACTATCAGATTCTTCGAATTTTGAAGGACTTCGAGTCAATATTCTCTTGTTTAATTTTAAATTTATTGTTTTTGAATTCTTCGAGCTTTTTTTCAACACCTCAAAGCAGTACACTTTGGAATATAGAATCCCTCGCGAACATTGAAAGGATAAGAGTTACAAAAAAGAATGAAGACATAAGTATTTTGATTTTAGAACCGTAAATACTTGAATCATCAAAGATTTTGATATCTTGATATCTTTGTTTCCTTAGATATTTATTTTAAAACTTTTGGCAAAAGATTGGGAGGCTGTAATTTTGGAAACGATTAGAAGTTTAGAAACTAAATGCTATTTCGTTCTATATTCCGAGATCTCTGTGACTTTAGATCTTGAAGAAGTCATAAATTGAAGTTTTAAGTTTGGCAAATTGTAACAACATGCATCTTGAAGGACTTTTTTGCGCAGTGAACATGGGAGATACCGGTTGAAGGGCGAACGCGCCGCAAACCGTTTTGCGCATGTAAACTAAGGATATAACATATTGTTGTATTCTGAAGCAGCCCTTTGCGGTACCGGAGGACATTTTCTAATCAACATGCCCGGTTAATTATTGAACCAATTAATTGGCGCACGCTGCTAGGGCATGTGACGCATCTTGTCAGCAGCGTGTAGCAATTTTGCGAGCCTCCAGATTACTCTGCACATACCACCGTATATCATGTAATTATCGAGAAAGAAATAGGAAGAGACAAATGATAGAGAAAAGAGAGAGAGAGAGAGAAAGAGAGAGATATATATATCTAATTCTCTGGTCTCAGGGAAAAAAGCAACCGAATGAAAAACAACATTAATTCTTAGACAAAGCGTTTTTTCCCTGATTTCACTGTTCAGTATCAAACTGTAGTTAAGAGCAGTATTCATAGTTCAGTCTTATATTTAAAATCACCTCAAGTTCGTCTTAAATTGTTATGTGATGTGGGTATGAGTTCTCAAGACGATCTTAATACAAAACATAAGATTGGCATATGAATATATCTCTGTTTTGTGTACAGTTTTATAA